GTGATTGTCGCCCTACCAAGCATCTCAGACGTTAACTGGTATAACGGCAAGTAACTGAATACTTTCAAATGTAGATAGCATGTCAGTACAACAGTTTCTTTTTTGAAATTGTACTTTGATTTCTGATGTACAGTATCAGACCTCATCTTGATTCAAACTCAGTAGAGGTAACTTGTCGGTTCATTGACATTATCCTTAGTTACCAACACGACATTCATTTTCAGCCTCTCTGTAGCCTCTCGGGCCTCCCCAAACCCTCATCCTTTATACCTCTTCGAGCTACTACTAACGTCTGGGTTCGCAGTTACTGTTTCTGATCACTCCTTCGTTTCTGGTAACCACTTCGATTTGAAGTTATTCGGGGGTCATCGGTTGCAGAGTAAGTCACTTGCGCCTTTCTAGCACTCATTTCAGCCTTTGTGACATAATGATACTACAGTCTGGATCTTCAGCTGCACTATAAGTCCCTTGTTCTTTCAATTTTCGCATCATCTGTAATATTCTTTTCAGCCTTTCTGACATGACAGTACTGTCATTGGGTCTAGACCATATCGGCCGCAAAGTAAGTCACTTGTGCTCAATGTCATCTGTATTTGAATCATTCTGAACCCTCTTTTTAGCCTCCCAAGCCTCCTCAGAGCCTCCTCAGCGCCTCACTCAAACCCTCACTTAGGCCCTTGCCCACACATTCTTGAACTTGTTAAAGTCTCAGGTAGGATGAGCTCGGATCCGATGGGATCAAGGGTGGATGAAGCAGGCTTAGCTGCGGAGGTCCGAAGGTATGGATATATGGATGTACGAAGGTGTACGGATCCGAACCGATAGTGGACTGGAGGACTGCAGGCATGGATAAGGGTATGGAGTCATGGATAAGGGTATGGAGGTCCGGATGTGCATCCGGAAGGCGTCCGGAAGGCGTGGGAACATCATCGGACGTAGGTCCAGAATACGGGATATGACAGTCCCCGTGGCTAGTCGACATGCCTCACCGTTTCCTACCCCACAAACCCCTGCGCAGATCCAGGATATTTTTTTTAATTCTATGCGCCAGCAACCTGCATGGATGGATCCTGACTCCTATGACACCTTTAGTATGATGGGGGCTGAGTCTTTTTACCTGGGGGAACCCAACATCACCTCATCGCGCAGGACATGAGCCGTCTAGCACCACCACCAACAAGTTTTTAATTTTCCTACGAGTTATCGGGTCAAGCAACCTCTCGTACATGTTCCCTGGAGCCTTACGCTACAGGCCAAACTCCTTCAGGAATTTACACAGGATTTTTCTGGTGATGTTGCCCCATTTCATCCCTCAGCCTGTTCCATCGTCATTGTCTCAAGATCATGCACCTCCCGTCCCAGCAACGAACATTATTCCACCAACGCCATTCCAGACTAATGCTGCCTCTTTGATGAATACAATTGGTGCAAGTCCTTCATTCCATGAACGCTTTCCCGAAGAGCGCGAGCCGGTGACCCGTCAAGAGGGACATACAATTACTGGACGCAGGTCGGCGGAGCTGAATGCAGCATTAGATGTCGGGTTTGCTGCAGTCGAGCGCGGCTTTCTTGATCTCTCTATGTCTACTACACTCCCTATTTCCCAATTGATCAACTTATTCTTGAAGAGTCGCGGGCGCACCGTGAATGGTATTAATTACTGGAACTTGTACGCTAACTACTTCAAAGAGCATATGCAGACTGGAACTTGCGCGCATTGGCAGAGAGGCCCCAGCCGGAGGCGGCACGCCCAGTAAGTACTATATTACATCTTCTTTTGCACAAGGTTTATATTCCTTACAGGTGCGACCGTGCGCACGCAGTGTTACGACAAATTCAAAGAGGCCTATCCCGATTCTTACCAAGACCTCTTGTTCATGCACGAGGAGGCATCGCTCCTTGGATCATCTACTCAAGACAATAGCTCAGCGTGGACAGGGATTTCAGAAACATTATCGAAGAGTAATACAGATTGTATGTCATCTCACCTGAACTTTCGTCATCATCTCACATTGCTATTGTAGCTCGAGTCTGCCTCCGCTAAATCTGGCTTCGAAGCAGCCATCGTCCTATGTGGCAAAGTGGTCAATGAAGACGGGTCACTCGGCCATTCATATAACACAGCCAGGTGCTGCAGGGGTAAGATTCTTTGTCGTCTAAATCCTCACGTATACTTAGCAAGATGCAGTTCTGGCAAACACGATGCCGTGCGAGTGATGATGCCATCATCGGGCATCTTAAAGCACACGTGTAGTAAGTATGATTGTATCTACCTTTATGCTACTGACTGACACCACATCTTCAAACAGTAATAGTACATCCTTGGCCGAGGTGGATGAAGCATTCCATGATGATACTTGCAGTGACCTATTGACCCCCCACTCGCCTCCAAACAATGGTCGTGATCAGTCTCAGGCACCCGAGGGACGGGATGATGCTTTGAAGTGGGTTAAGCTTGAACTTATCAAACAAGTCGGTATGTCAGAACGTCACTGGTCTTTTAATTCATCTGACTAAATGTATACTAGCCCAGCTTGGGGGCAAGTGTGCCTGGGATAAAAACTTCCCTTGGAAGGGCATGTCCAGCGCACTTGCTGACGCCAATCTCTGCATCAAGGGATATCCAACTGAAAGGTGTCTCTTGCCTGGTGAAACTCACAATGAGAACTCGAAGAATAAGGGCATTGGAGCGCTGACACAGAAGGAAATTGCGGTGCTCGTGGAGGCATTGAAGTCAGGAACCATGAAAGTTGTCAAAGTTGACAAGGCGTATCGAGGTAAGATTCTCGTTGTAAGAACATTCTGATTCTAATGTTATGTGCAGCATCTGTTATGGCCTCTGAGAGGCCTGTCATCACAGGCATAGCGCCTCCTTCTGACTGGCCACATGCTGGTGCTAGACGGCTGTTTGTTAATGGCGACACCGACTACCATGGCCCAGCTCGTCTCAAGCCCAGCAATGCGACTACCAAAGTCAAGAAGGCTGATAAAGTGACGAAGGCCCCTCCACCACCTAACGCCGACGCCAATGACGACGATGATTCGGATGACGATCATCCAATAGTACCTACTACTCGGAAGTTCAGAAAATTTGCCACACGAGTAGATGTCATGGAACCGCCACCATCACGTCCATTTAGAGTCGTTACACTACCACCCTCACACCCGCTCAAAGTCGCTCGAAAGCCGGGACCGACTGCCGCAGCACAGTGCGAGGTGATTGAAATTAGTACTTCAGCTGGGGAGAATGTCGCCACAGAGCCTGAATCGGAGTATGAAGAAGCACGCGGGAAGAAGAGGAAACTGAAGTTCGTGGATACTTCACATGCGTTAAAAAGGCCGGCCCCGTCCAGCGAGAAGTCTGATACTTCGAAAGTGGAGAAGAAGGCTGCACGGCCGAAGCAACCCAAAACGCCTGCCCTACCAACTTCTCCGATAAAGGGTGGCCCTCTGTCCCCATTGACAGTGGGATCATCGAGTGTAGCAGCATCGCCAGAGCCTGAGACTGCAGGTGAGTACTCTTTATTTTATATTAACTTTACTTGACTCGAGGCGTATAGCTACTGGTACCAGCATTCCTCCAGGATGGTCCCTCTAACGTGCGCACAAAGGGTAAGCCTTTTTTCGAAACAGCTATTCTTACAGAATGGCTAAGGATCTACCGTCTATGTACTCTCTAGTAAAACCACGCCCACTCACAAAGGAATCCAAGGGTAAGATGAAACGTGCTCTTCGCATGGCGTATGGCCGCTCGGATGGATCTGAAGTTGATGAGGGCGAGAGGCGGTTGCAGCTGTGAAGAGTGGTGTCTCCTCTGGTTTAGATCATGTCCCTAAGGAGACGTTACAGAAGGACCTACCTTCAGAGGCGATGCAGGATGACGGACCAGTAGGAGATCAGCAGGAACCACCTCGAGTCACCAATCCCATCAAGGATCCTCGTACTATTGACGACTCTCATGACTCCCGTGACCCTCCAGCCAACCCACCCCAAGCTCATGATGAGCTCTCTGTCCATCATGACCCTCGTGAGGGTATCCAGCAAGGCTCTGACAAGGGTGATGCTGTACGCCTCTCACGGGAACCTCAACATGAAATTGTCCACAATGACCCTCATGAGGGTGAGCCTCTTCACGATCCCCGCGAGCCTCGTCAGGACCCTCGAGACACTCCCCATCACGTCCCTCGCAACACCTCGCGCGATCCTCATCAGCCTCTTCGCAATCATTCTCGTGAGCCATGGTACATACACGAGGCTGTGCAGTCGTCGTGAGGTCCACCATCTGCGTGAAGATACCCCAATCACTGAGCATGATGCTCTCTACCCTCGCGATGCCTTCTACCACCGTGACGTTCGCAATCACCGTTATGCTGGTTCGCAACCTCCCGACCATTATGGACCTGAGCCTCGTACTAACGATGAATATGCCATGCGGGATAGCTCACCAGCCTTGGAGGTATACCGTGATGATCATTATGCTCACAGTGAGCACGAACGCTCATACTCAAGTCGATACAGTCCGGTACTTGGTCCTAACTATGCTCGTGAGAATGGATACTCTCGACGCGATGACCTTGATGAACGGCGGGCACTTGGTGGAGGAACTTACCGTGGTGGATACCCTCAAGGCAGGACTCGTTACCATAATTCCAGATGGGCAGATCACATCCGCGATACTGTGCCTTTGGACTATGTTCCTCATGACAATGTGGCACGATCATTTAGTCAAGATCCAGTTAACCCTCCTCGCCCCCCTTCATCTTAATTGTATTTCAATTTGCGTACGCTCGTGTTTTTTTGGATGCTACTTTTGCTCATCGTCTCGTGCTGCAGATGATGGTTTGCTCATTCCTAACTCATCCTGCGCTCATATTTCCCTGTCCCTTTCGTACCCTACTTATGTTACTATGGACTTATTGTTTTGACTTCTCCTTGTTTTGACAATGTCAGTATAGCGGCTCCAATGCCTGCTCTCGATTGCGTCAGGACACATTTGAAAACACTGAATCTTAAGAACAATGATACAGCAGTGTGATATATATTATTAGAATGACAACTACAACGGAAAAAAACATAATGTAAGTAGAGAAAACATGCGAGAAAATGACATAGGTGTAAGTAGAAACACGGGGGGTAAAACATGAGTCATGCGCGAGGAGCACCAGAGGCTCTAGGTTATCTTGAGGGCAGCGGGACCTACAATATGATGATCTCGAGGGCAGCGGAACATAAAATAACACGCTAAAGGCTCTCTAGAACCACATGAGACGACCAGAACCAACCCTCCAACGAGGCCTACAAGGGTATTCTGGTGACTCTTGAGGATTTGAGGGAGACCCTCTTGCGAGAGGGTTGTCTCAGAGATGTGTTTTGTCCTACATGGAAACCGGGTCTAACAGACCTTGACAAGCTCTAAAAGTGCTGCCAAGGGTGATTCATGAGTCCATGATATGGTAGTGACTAGTGTCTTGGCACTTGAGTGAGCCAGACTCGGCTGGACGGACGGACCCGAAAATCTGGCCTGTGTGATATGCTGTGACTTATAACATTTGCGTGACTGCTGACTTCTGTGGGGTGCCGATTGCACTGCCAGAAAGGATAGTACCACTACATAATCGATTTATTTCTAGCTAACTTCTAGTGAGAACAGCAGTTCGTGATGGGCAGATAGCAAGTTCGGGTAACTTACTCGGTAGCACCGCGACCGTGTGGTATACTGTTTCAAATTAAGCATCACAGCCCTCAAGATGCAAGGAAATCCTATCGCACCTTATAAGGATCGTAGTATATCAGTAATCAACGATTAGCGGCCCATAAGTCTCTTCAGGTCCCATTCGATCTGCAGTCTCATGTCAGAACAAGAAGTTGCCGCTGGTCTCCTGCTGGAACAACAGTGCAGGTGGTTCGTCAGCATATTTTAACTGACTTGTGGCTATCGTGATTGTGCTGAACATCGGTTTCAGTGCCAATCATTACCCTGATGTTATATGAGTACCGTCAGTGGCCTTCGGGAACCTTGTCACCACTGCTGCTGAACGAAAGATCGTCTAGTTCTTCTGTTAGACAGAGGTAAATCAAGGTCATGGTCTTCTCTTCTAGCGGTTGAGTACTTATTACCAGCATAGGTTGATTATGTCTGGGTCAGTGTTCAACCTAGATCTGCACAACCATATCAGCCCGGAGATTGACTGGATCACCAGAAACGACTGTGGTCGCTAATGTCATGCCTGTACCTCATTGTGAGTTTTGCTGCTGCTTGGATGCGGAAAGCGCTTATGCATTGTATTATATTTTATTTGCTACGCTAGGTTCGATATTTTGGTCTTTTCCTGGCACTGTACGTCGTCGTGGCTCCTTGACACGGCCCTTTGCTGACACTCATACCAGGCTGTGCGGCTTCTGTGCTGTAGCCCTATGCCTACCCGACCAATTATCAACTGACTAGCGCTAGGGGGAGGTTTGTTATACATACCTGAATCAGTCAGTGTGTCGAATGCTTTCCATCTAGAGAGTTTGGGTCTGACCCACGTCCTAGCCGTACGTCCCAAATACGTCTCAAGAGTCAAGTCTCAAGAGTTGTTGTTCTCGTATCATTATAGCTGCAAGTATATTGTTTTCAACCTGATGCGCATCCACTTATCATCAAGGTGAATTAGGCTACGGTCTTATCGATCTAATTGAATGGGGATTTTCAGTATATTTCTGGTTTGTGGAGGGTATGATATAGTACTTACATTCTCGCATCTTGTTATGGATTTAAATCTTGCGTCCACAGCTATTCTCATCTGGTGTCTTTATGCTATATGCAACCAATCCAAGCTCCTACTTCATGTTTTAGTGGGATTATTCTTGCCCATTCGTCGCCCTCTCAATCGGGACGGACATCTATCTATACAGTCGACAGCAACGGTGTTCTCAGGTGAATTTTTACTCGGATGAATTTGGCTGCAAGCTGACCCTGCCTCATTGCACAGTGAAAGAAATCATAACTCGACATGCCAAATATTGCACTCTTTCCTTCAACATAGGACCTATGCCTGCAATCTATACTTCGATCCCCATTGTGTGCTATGACATCTTACTAGTTGTTCTCGCGGCTGCCATCCTCGCGAGGCACTTTAAGGAACGGAGGGAAACCCAAATGAGGGCTAATACATATATGGTTATGATCGTTCGGTATCATATCCTGTACTTTGCCCTGTAGGTCCCCTTTCATCGAGTGGGTTGTGAACGTATCCATCGACCTCCGCTAGGAATTTGACAAACCAAATCTTATTGGTTATATTATGGGCTCATATTCTGGTATGATACTTCCAAAGGGTTATACAGAGATAACTAACATGCGCACTCGTACTACGTAGACCCCAGCGATGAGTCTCTCAGCTTTTCAACGATACTGCGCCATTTATTCTCGCGCCCCGTCTCATCATCAGTATTTGGGATACACATGCCCATGATGACTGCGTAGAAGTCAGCACGACTGTTCGAGGACTGTGTATGTTGGACTTCTCCACTGAGGTTCGAGCAGCACGAGATGGTCTCCGTCATATAATTCTGGCATGCTGGTACCTCAGCATGAAGACAAATGATCAGGGTAGAGCAGGGCAGCCAACTTTTTAGCGCCTGATAGTGTACATAGTAGTCATACCTTGAGCTGTTGAAGGTGCAATGTAGACCGAATGATGAAACATCAGCATGGTTCCCCGTAGGCGCAGGTGCAGTTTGTAGCCTATAAACCCTCGACGAACATCAACTATTGAGAGGTGATCCATTAGAGCACCCGACCCGGTATCATCCTAACCCGGGTGTCATCCTAATATCATGTCTGTCAAACATATATATTCCCCCTGTCATTGCATGTCACTCACCTGGTTACGTTTATTTTCTCTCTTTACTTAAGGCAGCCAAGAAGCCTTCGTTGCACCTCAGTCTCTTTACCACAGACTGAGGTGTGTATGCTCTTGTCACATACTCATTAGGTTACCTGTAGGCTCGTGCTACCTTAGGTTCGTTCATTAGTAATTTAGTCTCTTTACCATAGACTGAGGCTCGCGCTACCTTAGCTCTCCCTCTCTGACAGGTTATGAGCCCTGCCTAAAGGATAGTGGCATTCTTCCACTAGACGTCTTGTTTCTCTCGACTATATTCTCGCCGACCAACTCCTGCCTTCGGCCCCTGTTATCACATAATGACTTCTACCGACTCTCTTCCCAAGACCGAGAAATACCCGCACGAGAAGCTCACCCTCGACGGCTCTAACTATTCCCAATGGGCAACTGGTTTTAAGATGTGGGCCGGCGGTATTGGGCTGTGGTCATATGTCAGTGGGGATGAGAAAGAACCATCACCACCGGCTCCTCTCACAGACGCTGACCAAAACATCATCCATAAGGAGAAACATGATGAACAGGTGAAACTCTACAAGCAGCGTCGCCTTCTGGCTCTAAGTGCCCTGTCCATGGCCATTGATGCACAGGACTTTGTCTATCTACGCGACATAGATGACCCACACGTTGCGTGGGTTGCCTTAGAGAAGAAATACCTTCCCCAGAAGGCCATCCGCTTCAACTAATACCTCGACCATCTCTTCACTCTCCCAAAAGCGCATGACAGCGCATCCATTGCTGAAACACTCCAAACGCTCATTGTATTGAAGGCAGACCTTGTGGCACGAGCCCCTTCAGTGAATTTACCTGTATCAGACGGACAGCTAAAGGTGACAATGTACCAATAGAGGCGGGCCAGCCCATGTGGGCCCATGGCCATAAGTGTACCATGATAGACGAGTGGGCCGGAGGGTGGTGTGTACCTGTTCCAAACGAATGGGCCGGTGGTATATCTTGTAGACGGTAGTATAGGAATGTACTATATAGGATATCTATGAATATAAATGAATTCAGTGTGCGATGGGGACGAGTGGGCCAAGGGTACAGGGTACAATGGAGACGGGTGGGCCGGGGGTATGGGGTGCACTAGAGTCCAGCGGGCCAGGGATATAGGTGTGATGGGGACGAGTGGGCCAGTATGTGAGGCACAATGGAAGACAAATGGGCCGGGGGGTAAGCTCAATGGAAGATGAGTGGGCCGGGGGGGGGGGGGGGGGTAAGCTCAACGGAAGACGAGTGGGCCGGGGGGTAAAGCTCGATGATATCCCATCCAGTAGATGATGGAAATTTCTTCCGGTATGGAAGGCGAAGGTGAAATGGATGGTATGGATGAACTGGAAGTGTTAAATGAATGGGCCGGAAGAGCCAGAGGGGCATGAAATGGATGATACAGATGAGCCAGTAGTACATGAAATAGATGAGCCAGATGGGGATGAAATGGATGATACAGATGAGCCAGTAGTGAATGAAATGGATGAGCCGGATGGGGATGACATGAATGATACAGATGAGCCGGTAGTGAATGAAATGGATGAGCCTGATGGGGATGAAATGGATGATACAGATGAGATGGTAGTACATGAAATGTATGATACAGATGAGCCGGTAGTGTTAAACGGACAAGCTGGATGGGGGGTGAAATGGATGATACAGATGAGCCGGTAGTGTTAAATGGGCCGGATGGTGATGAAATGTATGATACAGATGGGCCGGGTAGTGAATGAAATGGCTAAGCCGGTGGTGCGCTGTGTGATAGAGGTGAAGGTGAAATGGATTATACAGATGAGCCGGCAGAGTGCCATCCAGTCCCACAACATTCTTACTCCTGAATGCATATTATGCAATTCAAATCATATTGATTGAAAGCATGCAAGGTTGACAACACAATGTAGACGACTAGTACATACAAAAACATGAATGATGTGCTAGTCTTACTGTGTCCAATCACCGGAAGGCTTGCATGGATATCTAGCACTCACTGATCGACCTTGGTGCGACAGAGGTCCATATCGCGGGCGTGGCAAAGGAGCCAAGATGGACTGCGCATTAGCTGGCACACTTGATGGCCTGGCAACTGGGAGATCAGGAGATTGCGCAGGTGGTGACCCTACCGGAGGAACAGACGAGCCGGATTCCCTCATTGTCAATGGCGGGATGTTGGTGGGGTGGATGACACCTGGTTGTGCCTTGCGACCGGTGAGCCATCTGCAGTGTCACCAAACGTATCACCACCGGTCTGGGCACCCATCCAAGATACATCCGGAGTGAAGACATTGTTGGTCACAGTGCGGGCAAACGCACTGATGGATGGGCTGGGAGCTGTGATGGGGGGTGGATTGAATGCCAGTGGACTTGATGCTGTCGCTTGACCGGATCTCTGCTCCCTGAGGTACCTGACAATGCCTCTTACTTCGGCGGTGCACTCAGAGAGGAGTGCACGCTGCGCATGCATATCCTGCTTGATGTGATCAATCTGCATCGACATGGCGCTGTCAGATGCCTCTGTGAGGTCCATTCGACGCTCCAGGCGAAGTTGCTGGAAGTTGATTTCCAATTGATCGCATGTACGAAGTTCCTCCATCTCAAGACAAATTTGGGCCAACATGGCCTCCATCTGGTCATGAGAAAGGGGGTGCCGGGTGGATTGACTGGGTCCGGAAGGCGTGGTAGGGGAGGGCGGGCTGTAAACGACAGGTAATGGTGAGAACCGGATGTCGTCCTCTGAGGCCATGGCCGGTGATGGAGGTGGAGGTGGCAACTCGTCATTGTCGGGCTCGATCCAGTGATCAGGAGGGAAATTGTTTGCAGATGCCAAAGGGGCCGATTGTTGTTGGGCACCCGTCACATCCACAGTGCCATCGAGCATCTGGACGCTCTCGTCTTCCTCTTGGATAGGACTAGGTTGTCGGATTGTCTTGTCTACAAGCATGCATTAGAATAGAATGCAACCGGAAGCAAAAGACTTGCCTTTCACATTAGATTTCTGCCCCATCTTTTTTCCGGTGGCTTTGGACCGGGTCGTCTTAGAGTGAGTGGTGACTGCGGCCACAGGGGGTGCAGTGTTGGTGGTGGGGGCAATGGTGGCGCTCGCTGTATCGGTCCGGATGCATGCCATCTTCCAGAGGTGGCACAACGAGCAAGTCGAGGCGACATCGCCTTTCTTCGTCAACCAGGGGCAACACTCCACCTTCTTCGCCCGGCATCTGTTACAAGGCGGCAGAGAACCATCAGTGGGGGGCTATGAGGAATCAGCATGGTAAAAACATAGCAGTGACTGGAAGACTCACCTGTTCTTGGACCTTGGCTTTCCTGCCGGTGCCCTTGCCCTTGGACTGGATGGACTATGGAATAATGTCAGTCTGGATTCGACCTTCGCAGTTACATGCAAATCCTACCAGTTTTTGTCGCTTCCCTGGTCGTACAGTGGCCTGTACCAGGATCAGCGATGGACCGGCAAATATAAAGAACAATAAAAACTTGCCTTTGATCTGCCTTGTGCCTCTTCATCCTCCTCCAATTCATCTACTTCTTCATTGCCCTCACTCACAACCAACCGACTTGCCTTCAGTGTGCCTGGCTTTTTTGCAGGGATGACAGCCTTGCGTGTTGATTTCTGGGGCTGTTTTCAGTGTTAGTAATGTTGAATTTACGAAGAAAAAACACTTACCTCGATGTCCAGAAGATTATCGACATTGATGAAGTCGTCATCCTCATCGCCGTCAACTTCCGGTGCCTTGGCCTTCCCCTTCCCCTTCACCTTCTCAGTGTCAGTGTCAGTGTCAGACAAGTTCTCCTTCGACTTGATGACAGGCTTCTGGGACTGGTTGGCACGAGGCAAAGGAGGGCTGGTACTGAGGCGATGTTTCCGTGTTTTCGACGGCCCTGCCGGTGCAGGCTCACCGGATGCTGCATGTCTGGGCATGCGAATGCTGACATGTGGCACAGGTGCTGGGGCACGAGCAGGAGCAGGTGGTGGTGCAGGTGTGGGCGCAGGTGCAGGCGTAGGTACCGGTGCAGTTGCTATTGCAGTCTTAGGTGTGAGTACCGGTGGGATGAGGAGGAAGACACTCACCAGGAGCTGCAGGCGCAATAGGTGGTACATCACCCAATGTCTTACTGTACAATGGGTGCTTCATGCACATGTCCTGATTGTGCCCAAGACGGGTCCAGTCCGGTATTTCCACCAATTGTGTGGTGCGCCTCTGAGCGCGAAAGATCTCTGCTGCAAGTGACAGCAGGCCAGGGGGGACATAGGAAGCCTCCTTCCCATAGGCGCGAATCGCATCATTCTGTGTGACCATAGTATCAATCAAAGCAACTGACAGAGAATGAAACATACCACTTCGCGAGCAATCTTCCGGCTCAACTCCATTTTTTCCTCTTGCGACGGCAATCAGATAACGTCTTCAATCATCTCAGTGAGCCGGGCTACAAGAGCTATGAGAGCCTGGTTGGCAGCGGCAGTGGAAGACGCAGAAGTAGAGTGAGAAGACATGGCAGGGAGATGATTGCAGTAGAGACTTAGTGGACAAGTAATCCAGAAGAGACGTGTTCAACAACCACCCTTGGGAAAATGTCGGCAACCGGCAACCCGGCCTGACCCAGATATATCTGAGTCCATTGTTCGCTGTCAGCGTCTATTTTTATATCTGAATATCACATTGTGTGGTTCACACATCATCAGCAATCAATTGTCACTAGCTAACCTGTGACGAAACCATCCGGTCACAGGCTGCAGCAGAACATCTATTCTGCCGGTGATCTTATGAAGACCGCGGATTTATACAACCCTTTCATTAAAATGAAAACAAGAAGGATGTGATTGTCCGCCATTGCCAAGCATAATCTACATGTGCCTAGTGAGGACAAAGGTAAGAATTTATATACTACTACAATGGACCGGTTGACATTATCCGGCATGCCAGTATTTGACACCTTGCAGCTGAGAGGTGAGGAGCGCACTTACAACAACCTTATGATGGATTGTTCAAGCATGGATGAATGTGAGTTCATCTCATGCACAGCAAAGACAATTGACATCACCTTTGAAGACCTAGATGTCATGTCAGCTCATGACCGGCTGAGAGATGGCAATAGATTGAAGACGGTCCACTTTCAAACCGGGGATGACCACCGGTCATTGGACGTGGGTTTTTCTGAGTCAGATGATGACCGGATAACCAACCCTCACAAACCACTCACAACCGGACATGTTGGATATGCAATTCCCCACCCTGTCTGACGATGAACAGTCAAATGGTGAGATGTTAGAATTGGGGTTTCCTCCAGAGTCAGACGTGGGAGATGTGCTAGATTTGGGGTTCGATATCGATGTCAGTGATCCAGCCAGACACACAGATGAGGTGCTGGAAATGGGCTTCAACATGAATCATGTAGATGAATCGCTGGACTTAAGGAATAATATCACGCCGGATGAAAACCCTCTGGAGATGGGTTTTGATATGGATTCGGTGCATGAAAGCCCTCTAGAGATGGGTTTTGATGTGGATCCGGCGCATGTTGACCCGGATCGATCTTGTAAGCCTTCTTGTTGCTCCAGATATCATACTGACCATTGAAATTCAGTCGCTGTCATTCGACCGGATCCCATTGGATTTGTAATCCAATGGGCTGTAGGCAATTTGCATATAGCAATCCACCGGTTGGATATGGACCGGGCTGGTGATGCAATGTCGCCGGACGAGGCCTTTGCAAGACAAGAAGTCCTTGACTGCACACAAGAGTTGTTGCTGGCATGTCAACTGATATCGATATCTCGACTTTCAACATGAAGTATGTATTTCCGGTCATATGCTATCTACACCTATCGCTAGAATACTTGTGTGCAAAGATCCAAATTACTACTACTGCATATACTGAGCTTTGTAAGAGGCCTTTGAAGTTCTAAGAGAGCACTTTGGCTCAGGATCGGTGGTCTGTGCTTCATGTCCTTGGGCTTTCTTGCCGGTGGTCCTTGGGGCAAGCGGGTGTTGGTTTGGGCACCGGTGTTTTGTGGTTTTTCTTCTTGGCATGGATACCAGATGTAGGACCAAATGCTCGACTGTTTGAAGGAGGAGGATCGTTGTCATGAGCACCGGTTGATTGCGCAGAACCGGTACTGGCGTTGTTTGGCTGGGATTTCTTTCTTGGAGGCCGACTGTCCGACTCTAAATCAGATTGAATGTGATCAACCCTACTGCACTTTTTAGTTAGTTTTAATTTAGGTGGCAAAGGAACCGGCACGGATTTATTGACCAGTGGGTGGGGATCTTCATGCTCTGCAGCAGATGGAGCCGGACTAGCCCTGCTGCGCATGTTGACCGGCCTGGATTTCTTGACCGGTATGTGATTTGTGGCAGGTGTCAACTTTGGAGGTGGCGATGTGCCGTCGTCGTCGTCGTCGTCGTCCTTCTCATCATCATCGTCATCGTCCTTCTCTTCGTTGTCGTTGTTGTTGTCGTCCTTCTCTTCATCTTCATCATCCTTGTCCTCGTCTTCACTACTTGACACCTGTTCCACCCTCCCAGTGCGCTTTCTGGTAGACTTTTTCACTGGATCCTTGGGTCTCGTGTCAGAACCGTTTCCGGAAATCACCTCTGCCGATTCTCTCATCGTCTTATCGTCGCCTTCCCAGCCTTTAAATTCAAAGGTTGGGCGAACATGGCCCTTCTGTCTTTGACACCACAACTCTAACAGCCGGTCAGCATCAGCCAACTGAATCTTTGACGGATCGTCAAGCTTCCAGCCGGTAGGTAAAAATTTGGCTGCGATAAAGTCCCCCTGAGCCTTCCCTCACTGAGGCTCAAGGCACAGATGCCTTTGGTTGTTGGCTGCACAACCCTGAAAATAGCCGGTCAGTTGATCAGCTCTCCAGATGCATCATTTGTGAAACTGACTGTAGTGTTTTGTGAGGAACATCCTGATAAGACACTTTTTACTCTCAAGGTTAAGCCTTTCACATCTGGTATGACCGGCAGCCCATAGCTATCCACCTCTAAAGGATATTCGTCCTTCTTTCCGCCTTTCTTCCTGCCTTTTTTCACCTCCCCTCACTATCGTCATCATCATTATTCAGGTCAACATCTGGTATCACCCATGTCGCATAAGTACTTGACTGAACAATGCAAGATTGTCAACAGAAGCTCACCAAACTCTTCTCCAGCATAGGCATTCCACTCTGCTCCATGGGCTTCCAGTCCTTCGTATCGGTAAAACTATTGCCCTCCAACTTTTCATTGAAG